TAATTTTAGAAACTTTGCATATTAAATCAACAAGAAATGGCGTGAAGATGGATTAGTCCAAAATAATAAAATAAATACTAACCTAAACTTAAAATAATTTGACAAATATATTGCCAATAAATATTCTACACAACATATATTATCTTTTGCACTCACAATTTCTCCCTTTGACAATTATTTGTCAAAAAATACACATAAACTCTTAAGGCACAATAAAAAAAAAAGAAAAAAACAATATAATCAACCTAATATTCTCATTAATGGTGCCTTAAGATGTGTTGTGTCAACAAGCAAAGCTGCAAAAACAACAAGGTCACTAGATAACAAATTTTATAAAATATTACGCCATGAAAATCATAATCCATCAATCATGAATAACCAATCAAGGACTAATTATTCCATCATCCAATATGCTAGTAACCAAACAATGTATGTACTAGAATAATTCCATCATCCAATAACGAGTAAAATACTAGAATTGTTCACCAAACTAACAAACTAATTATAGAGTGTTACCACATGAGTTTTGCTTGCTCCCCTTAAGAATAACTCCCCCTTTTTTGCCATAATTGACAAAGCGAGCACATGTGATCATCTAGAAACTGGAGCAGAAGCATCAACACCTTGTCCTTCATGTTCAAGGGATCGAAGAAGTAATGTATCATCCAGTATGATTTTCTCAACTTGTGCATAGCCAATATTGTTAAGGTTAGTCTTACTGTCATCAAAATTCTAGCATAAAAACAAAATTGATAGTAAACAATTTTTCATGTACTTGTATCGCTAGAATACTTACCATCACTCCCATCTAAAATCACACTCCTCTCCTTCAATTTTCTCACCTTGCTTTCATAAGAGTTATAAATTCTTTGCCCTTTAGGTGAAGTTGTTCTCTGCCGTTTCATGTCAGAGCCAACGATAGACCGATCAATCCCATCATCTCCAGTGCTGCAATCCCCACCACCACTCGGGATTCCCTTCACGGGATCACATCTCTTCCGAGCACCATGAGAGATACATGGATAATCAATTTCTATCGCATTCAGGAAAAAAATATGGACATTAAATCGCGAGTTCTTTGTATATTTGAAGAGCAACAAGTAGTTGATGCCAATCGAGTTATCCTCCATGAAGCTCTCAAAACCATCATCAAACCATGCCATTTTCTTATTCTTCTTAAAGTGCACGCCCCATTCACCATCACTAGGGAGACAGAACTTGACAACGTCAGAGAGTTCATCCTTGATGTGGCTCCCAAACATTGGGTGACCATGAATATGCTAACCAACCACAAATAAAAAAAAAAAAAAAATTTAAAGCAACCAAATGATGCCAAGTCAGGAGGGAAAAATGTAGGAAAAATAAATTAGGGGTATATAGCATTACTCTTCATACAATTCACAAATATGGCTCTACAACTAATCAATTATCAACAAAACATTCAAATTAAACATTATATTACAACAAATATGGCTCTACTACAACTAATCAATTATCAACAAAACATTCAAATCAAATAAAACATTACAACAAATATGGCTCTACTACAACTAATCAATTATCAACAAAACTGATGGATTTAATTACCCAGGGTGGACCCGAATCACTAAATCCGGATAAGAACGTAAGGAGTAAATAAGACGAACGAAACGATGTCGTAAAGTTCGTAGGGACCGTATATTGTATTAGGTTCCGTAAATAGGCTATTACAACGATAGTTTAGGACAAAGTGTGTAAGATAATGATCAGGTGTCCCTTGTGAGGACAAGGTGAGGGGTTTTTATATGCAACAAACCCCCAACCGCTTCCCCTAAACCAGGGGGGGGGGGGGGTGGTTGGATCAGGCGCTTTGACCGCGTCCTAGCTCGGGACCGGGTCCAAAGCGCACCTGCGCCCCACTAAAAATCCGAGCTTGTTAGGGGGAGGTTCGGCTTAGCTGAGCCCCTTGAAGCCCGAGCTCGGCCTGGCCGAGCTCATTATGGCCTGAGCCCGGCCTATGGTCGAGCTCCTTGGGCCGAGGTAACCACGACCCAAATGCCATGGCCAAGGTGGCTTGGGCCGAGGTATCCCGGGTCCGTGGTGCCTTGGGCCGAGGTGTCCCGGGTCCGTGATGTCTTAGGCTGAGGTGCTCCGGGTCCGTCTTGATTCGCTCCGAGCATAATATATCCATCATGAGTCCCCCACTCTCTTCGTTGGAGAAGTCGACAAATGTCCCGACCCGACCTCCATGCGCAACGTGGCCAAGCTCACTACCGCTGAGCCCATTGTAGCCGAGGCGTCTTAGGTCGAGGTGCCTTGTGCCGAGGCGTCCTAAGTCGAGCTCGCTATGGATCTAGACGCCTTGGACCGAGGTGAGACGTCTTGGGCCGAGATGAGACATCTTGGGCCGAGGTGAGACGTCTTGGGCCGAGGTGAGACGTCTTAGGCTGATGTAAGACGTCTTAGGCCGAGGTGAGACGTCTTGGGCCGAGGTGAGATGCTTTAAGCTGAGGTGAGACGTCTAAGGCCGAGGTAAGACGTCTTGGGCCGAAGTGAACCGCCTTGGGCCGATGTGAGACGTTTTAGGCTGAGGTGAGACGTCTTGGGCCGAGGTGAGACGTCTTAAGCTGAGGTGAGACGTCTAAGGCCGAGGTGAGACGTATTGGGGTGAGGTGAGACGTCTTGGGCCGAGGTGAGACGCCTTAAGCTGAGGTGAGACGTCTGAGGCCGAGGTGAGACGTCTTGGGGCAAGGTGAGACGTCTTGGGCCGATGTGAGACGCCTTAAGCTGAGGTGAGACGTCTGAGGCCGAGGTGCCTTGTGCCAAGGCGTTTTGGCCCGAGGTGCCTTGTGCCGAGGTGTCCTGAGCCGAGGTGCCTTGTGCCGAGGTGTAACACCCCACTTTTCTTAAACTTAATTACAGTTCTAAAACCAAATTAAGATAAACTAAGCAGCGGATAAACAAACTTAAATAACAAACTAGTGGGAATGTCACCGCCACAACCACCTTTCCACGGTGATTGCACAGGCTAAGGATAGAACTAAATCATTAAGTCAAACTAACATTCGAAATTTACTACATTAAAGTAACTTAGGGAAAAGTACCCCGGTGTCTATCACCAACAAAACAAAAGATGTCTACATCCTTAATCTCAAAAACAATGATAAAAGGTCAAAGAGTTTAGACTATATAGCAACTAACTACACTAGTCTAACTCGAGCACTCTCAAAACCTGGGCCCACCTGAAAGGGATTTTGCAAATAGACAAATAGAAAACACCCGTTAGCACGAAGCTAAGTATAACCACACTCAACCCCGTAAAATACTACAGTATATACTTTGGAAAAACATTTGTTCACATCCTCAAATTAAGCAATCTCAATCACTTAGACAAAACCTTGATATAAACCACAAAGCTTTCTATATGCTCACAACCTAAAATATCAAATAGGCATACTTCAACGATATCAGCCTAACAACATGCTCATACTATCGCATACATAACATAGCAAATCTCAATTCTGTATAACATTTCAATAACCATCTCATGCTAACACATAAACTTACACTAGTACAAAATAGAGCAAAGAAATATGACTTTAGGCTACCCTTCTTTAAATAAGGGTAGTGTATTGTTTTAAAAAAAGGGAACGGTGGCATAATTGTAAATAAATGAATAAGAATCCGCTACCCTTTTAATAAAAAAGGTAGCGGCTTTTTTTTTTTTTTTTTTTTTTTAAAAGAATAAAATATCCACTACCCTTTCTAAAAGAAAGGGCAGCGCGGAAATGGATCTGGGTACAAAAAAAAAATAAAAAAAAAACCTTCAAAATCATATCAGATCTCGCTCTCACACCTCTCAAGCTAACAGAAGATGTCGTCCTCACCACACCTCCGCCGTCTACACCGCCTCCCTCATCCTCCAACGACGCCCCTGACACCGCCTCTCTCACCACGACTCCCTCAGCCACCCACGACTCCGCCACCACCGCATCCACCGCCAAAGTTCTCCTCAGCCACCGTCGCGGCTGCTTCTGCGACTTCCACCGCCGCATGCTGCGAGGTTGCCGCCATCTTCGTCGCCATCTTCGCTAGTCTTCGTACAACAGAGCAAGGTTTCCGGCGTTCTTCGTACAGTAGCGCACACAGGACGCAGGTCGCCAACGTCGTCGGTTTTTATACAGCAAAGCAAGGTCGCCGTTTCTTCTTCTTCATGGGTCGCTGGCGCAAGAAGGTATTAGTATATTCAGATCTCTTACCCTTTCATTTATATACATATTATTGTATAGAGAGAGACTCTGGCGATTAGTATATGATTCTGATTGAACAAGTCTGCAAGTTTAGCCATACTCTGTTGTTCTTTGTGGAAGGGAAGATCTATCACAAATTTGATATGAAGCCTCACAATAAAAACAGTGAAAACTATGGAAACAATGCCGTGAAAGGACAAACAAGTATATGACCAAAAGTAGACAAATATAGGTAAATATTTTTTATGTTCGTGATTTGATATTGATCAATTTTCTATTATAGTTTGGAATAATTTTGAACATTTGTTCTTTCTTTTATTTATTAAAAGTATTGTCTATTTCCTGAATTCCTCCACTCTTTTTGCAGGTTATTGACAATGATAATGGAAAACATTTGAGGCCAATACCAGGGATTTTTGCTTCAAAGCCTTCTGGATCTGCAGTAATTTGCATCTTACCTTAGTTGAACTTTTTCTTAAATTTATGGGAGAGGTGTACTCAAACTATATGCTTACAGATGCCAACACCATTAATGTGCCTTTTTAGGGTCTTGTATTTAATATATGGTTTGGTTAATCTTGATGAATGAGATATGTTGCTTTTCTTGTTTTGTGTACTGTTTTTATTTTACCTAAATAATTTTAATGTATATTTACAGATTTGGCAGGTGATCTTAATATTTGAAATCTTTTTAGTTTCTGTGGTATTTAAGAAGTGTGATTAAGTTGCTTAAGAGTTAACTTATATTTTCTTTTGTTTTCATTTTTGAAAATGGTACATGTCAGGGGTGGAGCTATCCAGTTCCTGGGAACAAAGTGCCGCCATGATGAGTGGTTGAGGGATACTGAAAATTATGGAGTGAAAGGTTTCTTTGCAATGTCAAAGTTGGGGCATGGCAGTAATATCTGTGAAAGTGGTTTATATAGTTCAGTTCTGTCAAATGAAATGAATGCAATTCATCATCCAGGAATGTTAATAGTGTAGGATGTTTGCTCTATGATTTCCCAAGTTCGAGGTATTGAAACAGTCACAATGTATAACTCGAGCACAAGAGAGTTTGTTATAAACACTCCATGTGAATCAGCTCAGAAGTACTAGATAGGAGGGGCAGCTAATGTATGTAATATGACTCGATCTTATGTATATATGTGTGCTTCTGAATTCAGTGGCAGATGTTTCTCTTGATGGCAAGTATCTGACTGCAATTAAGGATCCTGATAGGGTAACCTCAATTAACTTTTAGTACCAATGCTAAACGGTATCTGTCTCTGTCTTGTTGTGATCTTGATGTAGCCGCTTGTTGTTATTGGCAGCATCATAATGGCGATTTTCTCGAGTTTCTTCATCGGGGTGTATGGAGCTGTTGTCGTGTACCAGGTTAACATGTTGTCTATTTTCGTCTGTCTCGACTGAAAGTTTAAACCGACGAAACATATTTCACCTCCATTGTTGTGTTCCCATCAGGAAAGGTCTTTCAGGAGGGGTGTTGCCTATGTAATTGCAATGGTGGCAGAATTTGACGAGTACACTAATGATTGGCTGTATCTCAGAGAGGGATCTGTTCTCCCAAAGTAATTATTTTCTTCATCTCTTTAATTTCTGCAGTTTTCTGAGCTTCATTCATCACTCTGCAGAATTGCTAATCATTTTGATGAAACCCAGGCCTAAGTACAGAAAAAAGATGGTTTCTGAGCAGACAAAGTTCTCTACTATGAGAAGAAATCGTTCGATTCAAGGTAAACTAAACGCGGTTTTCAGTGAAGCACCTGCAATGCTTGTTCCGAGTTTGACAGCTTCAAGATCAATTAGGGAAGCCATTCAAGAAGTGAAAATGGTTCAAGTATTCATTCATCCACCTGTAGTAGCTTTTAAGATTGCATATGGTTTGCCCACACGGGCAACTCCATTTGATTCCATGAGCTTTGCTGCTAACTTCTTGAAAAGGATGTATGTGAAGAGGAAACCTGAAATGATCAAAACCTTACATGTTGTTTCAAGTGCCTTTAAGGCTACCTTAAACTGGTATAATATGCGAACACACTTCAGCAGACATCACAGTTGTGATCAAAATGTCTTGTGGAGTCCATTTTTAACTTTTATTTTAAATTAAATATTATCTTGTGTTTATAATTTATTATTGTGATGAAAGTATTGAGATTGATTGATATAAAATATTGTATTGATAGCATTGTATTGAAAGTGCATTGATAATATTGTGTTCATAAATTGTATTGATATGTAGTTTATGAATTCTGTACAAGATTTTTTAAAAAATTGGGAAATTTTAAAATAATAAATGAATTTTTTTTTTGTAAAAAAGTAAACTATCCGCTACCCTTTCTGGGGCAGAAAGGGTAGTGGAAGATTATGAAAAAAAGAATAATAATAATATGCCCTACCCTTCTACAGTTAGAAGGGTAGCGGATGCTCAACTTTCCGCTACCCTTGTAAAAGGGTAGCGGAAAGCCCAGGGCTTTCTGCGACCCTAACATCTGCTACTCTTGTACAAGGGTAGCGGATAGTCTTTTACAAGGGTAGCGGATGTGTATATCTGTACTAGTGTTATCAAGCAATTTTGTGCTATCAATCAATAAGAAAGTATTCTCATGCTTTCAAGTTCTCATCATGCAAACTAGAAGTATCATACAAACATAGATGAGTATACTTATACACTCGTTTGTAAATAGAATATTTTTCTGTGGAGGTTTCTTAGAATCACAATGACTCGCTTTCTTTCTCTTGAGTCTCTTGACTCGATTTCTTTCTTGCTCAAACTTTCTCTTCTTGTGCGAGAGGCAGGTATGCACTATGCTTACTTCCCATTTCTTTCTTGCTCAAACTTTCTCATACTTCTCGTTTCTCTTCTTGTGCGAGGCAGGTATGCACTATGCTTACTTCCCAGGGGGTCACCCATCCCGGGATTGCCAGAAGTCAAGCACGCTTAACCACAGAGTTCTATGGTACCTGGTTGTCATATCCTACTTAAAACCAATTGGTGATAGGTAGGTGAACATTAACCATTTAACCACATCTCTCCATGGTAAGACACAGTGCCACGTCCCGAATCGAGCAGGGGTTGAACTCGGCCAACCCGGCCGACGCCCAACACCTAGCGTACGGTGCAATCTCGTGCATCCGCCACATCCGTAACTACGGAACCTCTAACTCGTGGGGAGGTAGGTCTTCATGAATCGTGAATGGACCTAACCGGCTTGGCAATCTATCCGCCCACATACTCAACTCGCCCACAGAACCACTCTCTTGGTTCTTTATCTTTCTTTCTTGCTTATTTTCTCTGTGGAATCAGGTATCATACTTTTAGTGTGCACACCCCTAACCAGGATTCCAAGTCTGGCGGGAAGTCTCAAACCTCGTAACGTGGGAATACGCCGCGTTACATGATAAATCTGCCGGATTGCAATGTCCGTTACTTTCTCTTTTACTCCGAAAGGACATAGTCCCAACAGGTCCTCCAAAACCTCACTGATATTATATATATATATATATATATATATATATATATATATATATATATATATATATATATATATATATATATATATATATATAGGATCCGGTGAGGCCACCTTAATTAGGTGAGATCGTGAGATTCGATCCTGATCATCTATTTTTTTTTTTTTTTTTAATTTAACAGTTTAGATTTGAGGATATTTTTAGTTGTTAAGCGCTCAACTTGACTGGTGTAGGGGCTGTCAAGTAATTTCGCTCATTAATTCCATCAATACCAATTTTGGATACCATGAAATTCTCAATATTTTCCTTATACGTGGGATTCCTGTCATCGCCATCGTAGTCATCCTCCGTCTCAGTTACAATTCTTCGTCTTCATCCTCTCATTCCTATTGGGGGATCCACCCAGTCCGCATCATGCGATTACGTCTGACTCCACGACGTACAATAAAGGGAGTCCATCCACGGCGCAAAGGAGAGCACAGCAAACGCAGACAATAACCAATTCCAAGTGATTTAGCAGGGTTCCCGAAGGCCAAGTCAATAAAGATGAAGAGTGGTGGTTCAATGTTCTTGGTCTGCCTAGGAAGGACCTCTATGAACCCCACTGACCAAGGTGATGAAATTAAAATTTTGGATCATGGTGAGTTTATATGCAAGTTGATGCAGTGATCACAACTTGTCCATATATATTACTCCGTATTATATTCTACATACTGCCTGCCAGGAACAAACACATATATATCTTTTATTTTCTTTAATTTAATAATAATAATAATAATAATAATAATAATATTATTATTATTATTATTATTATTATTATTATTGTTTTGGAGAAGTAAAGATCAAGAAACTAGAAAAGAGATGGACCAATCTTCTTTTGTAATCAAGGATTCAAGGTGTTATGTTGTTCAAGAAAGTAGAGAAAACATAGTCTAAGAAAACATTATATTTTTCTTTGTTGGGGTATCTTTTTCAAGAATTTGTGGTATAAATATGATAATTCCATTGCAATTAGCATGTTGGGATTTTTCTTAACCGGTGCTGAGTATTCTTAAATCTTAATCATGGTACAATGACTAGTTTTTGCCCGCGGCTCAGTAACTCCATGCTCAGTACTATGCATCCACCCGCTTCAATACATGCACACATGACGATTTCTAAAGTTTCATAATCTCACAATTTTTCACACTTTGGTGATTGCGGGCTTTTATTGGTGGATGCGTGTCTTTAATTTTCTAGTATATTTACTATTTTTTTTATTCAGAACAAATATTTTATTAAGTTTGTCATATGCACACACATCATAACGTGAGGTGATTAAAAAAATGCACACTCCATAACACAAAATTGCACACTCCATAACACAAAAATGCACACTCCATAACACAAAAATGCACACACCACCTTAAAAAAATACAGCATGATGCAAAGTTCCATTGTCATGCTAACGCATACGCCGCCACTAATTCGTGTACACACCTACGCAACAACTTAAAAAAAAAAAAAAACAAAATTGCAAACGCCTATACAAAAATCAAATTCATAAAGTTGGGTTTTGTTGGTTACGTAATTTCAATAAACTTGTACAAGCGTAACAAGTCCAAAAATAAACGCACATTGTTGCAATGCTTACCTAAAACAAACTGTTATGCACATGCCACAATGAAGTAACACACAAGCTTCAAAAATAAAAAAACACATACAATTACACGCCCCCACGAAACACCCAACAACCTATCAAAGCACTCTTAGACTTTGCACAGGCTCACCTACATAAACGCAACCACCATTGCATAAAAAAAAAAAAAAATACAACAACAACATGATGCAAAGTTTCATTGGCAGAAATTTGCACACGCCATCCCAAACAAATGCACACACCATCGTAAAAATAAAAATATGACGCAAAATTTCATTGCCAAAATTTACACACGTCATACCACACAAATGCACACACCACTGTAAAATAAAAACTTAACAACAAACCGCTTGATACAAAGTTCCATTGCCAAAATTTTGCACACGTCATACCACACAAATACACAAACCAGCGTAAAAAAAAAAACAAAAACAAAAACAAAAAACAAACAAACGTCATGATGCAAAGTTCCTTTGCCAAAAATTTGCAAACACCAAACCACACAAATGCATACACTACTGTAATAATAATAATAATAATAATAATAATAATAATAATAATAATAATAATAAAATAATAATAATAATAATAATAATAATAATAATAATAATAATAATAATAATAATAATAATAATAATAATAATAATAATAATAATAATAATAATAATAATAATAATAATAATAATAATAATAATAATAATAATAATAATAATAATGAAAATAATAATAAAAAATGACAACATGATGCAAAGTTCCATTGCCAGAAATTTACACACACCCTACCACACAAATGCACACACCACCGTAACACATACAAATCTCATATTACGTACTATTTCTTCTTGGCACGTTTCTTCTTCAAAAGCTCATAATACAAAAAAAAAATAATTAATTAATACCATTGATAGGATCCCTTATAATATTATGTAAACATTCTATTTCAATTATAACCAAAATTAAACACCATAATAAAATTACTCTTACACCATTCTCTTTTAAATCTATCCTTAAATAATTGCTATTTGACTTTGAATCTTATTCATCCATTGAAAATTTATTAATGAATGAGATGAGATCTCATGATCTCATCTATCTAGGTGACATCATGAGAACCGCATATACATATACACATATATATATATATATATATATATATATATATATATATATATATACACACACACACACACACACACACACACACACACACACACACACTAGTAATTCACTCGCGCGATGCACGAAAAAAAATTATGTTATTATAAATATAAATAAAAAATAAAAAAACTAAAATATTTTAAATTATTTAATATAATAATATTTTTGAGCTTCCATTGGTCAAGTATTTATTATTTTTATAGAATACAAAATTACAATTAAAATTATAATTATAATTATAATTATAATTTTGTATGGTTAATATAATCTCTAATTATGTGCATATTCAAATAAACTTATATAGATAATTTACATAATTACATTGATTTATTCTTAATTGTATTTCATCTATATTATAATTTTCACAATACGAATAATAACTAAGATAATTATATTTGGAAAGCAAATTTCAAATTTTGTATGTATAAATTTAAACTCTAATTGAACACATTTTTTATATGATTATATAATATATAGCTATTTTATTTTTCAAAAGTATATTTTTTATATGATTATATAATATATAGCTATTTTATTTTTTAATGTTGTTTTTTTTTATTTTTATTTTTAATAATAAAAGATGTTGTGACATTAATTGTAACATTAATTATTTCCCAAACCATATAGCTTTATTATATAAAGGATATATATATGATCATATGAGAACACTTGTTTAGGTGAGAATGTGAGAACAAATCGTGTGCATCCATTATCTACTATTTTTTAATAGTCTAGATTAGATTAAATGTGTGCGAACGCGAATTAAATGTGTGCAAACGCGATCACACACACTTAATATAATCTAGAAAATTAGATGGATGCACACGATTTGTTCTTACGTTCTCACCTAAGCAAGTGTTCTCATTGGAACCTTGCTCTCTCTCTCTCTCTCTCTCTCTCTATATATATATATATATATATATATATATATATATATATATATATTATATATATATATATATATATATATATATATAC